CACGGGCCATTTTGGTAACGGTCAACACTGCGGGCGGGTGAATTTCCAGCAAAGGTAGATGACTTAAATTTTAATTAGCGAGCCTCTGTCCCGCAGGTGGAGGGCACGGCCCCACCCTCGGCGTTTAGTTACAGAGACGCTTTTGAGTTATAGCTCGGCTTGTTTACCTTTTACATAGCAGTTATTGGGGCTGCAGGCAGCTCCCGGCGGTACAATAGAGCCAGTGATTGATAGGCTCAGTGCCTGCGGTCGCTTTCGTAGGGTTATATTTGGGTTACAATAGGAGTCAGACTCCCTCGTGAAGCAGAGGTAAGATAATATTTTCTCTGTCGTGCCTGCGGTCAGACGGGGGGAGGGTGTTACAGATATGAAGGCATGGGGGGGTTAAGTGCGCTATTTAGATGACACACTAATACACAGACGGTGAAGTCATAACAAACCGTGCTATGTGTAGCTGCCAGCGGCAGTAGCATGTGCTGGGTCCACTTTGCCGCGAGTAATCAGCCATTCTCACGGTGATAGGGGGGCAGGGAGGCACTCCCGGGGGGGGGGGGCCCTCCCAGTTTCTCTGTGGTCTGTCACTGCTGCGTCATCACCTGGGATTAAAATACCAAAGCAGGCTTTCACAAGTTTAAAGGTACTTCTCCTTTCCCCTCAGTACTATGGGTAATCTCAGGATAGATAAAAAACACAACACGGATTAGTGCCAAAGAGAGCCTCTAAATGAGAAACTCAACTAATAATGACAAGATGCCCTCCACCCTCCCCCCCCCACCTTCATAGGTGACTTATCTGGAGCTCAATAACAAAGGTTTGTCAAGACAAGTTGAACAGCAAGTGACATGTGACCTGGCAATTAATTACTATAACCCACAGGGTTGCACACAGAGGCCAAACACTGGAGATTACAGGCGTAAACCACTAAACATGCCTTTTCTAGCCAGAAACCTCAATCTTCCCGTGTATAACGCAGAAACAGTTCCCTAAAATCCACTGCAGCAACTCGGAGGACCAAGAACAACAAGTTAACGCTCAGAAACAGCTGTAACTGACTTGGTTTCCCAAATCTGCACCTAAATGATTGGTGTTGAGTTAACGAGGACAACATTATACCTTTTAGACTGCACATAGGTACTGTGTTCATTTATCAACACTGTTAAAATGAAAGCAAGCAAAGCCACCAGCTAATGTCTGGGTGCTACAGCTAGCTGCTAACTGGTGCGCGTTGGCATTCTACTGTTTGGTTGCATGGAAGTCAAAGCCTCAGCTAGCTGCTAATCACTACGGGTTAGCATTAGTGCCGGCGGCTTCTCTCGGCCCTTGAACATTGCTCATTTAGGAAAGCATGACGAAAAGCTGGTGTAAGGAAGGAGGGCGGGGGGTGTCTTGTGGAGCACAGTGTCTCCGAGAGGCCTCCCGCCCCCCATACGGCCCAGCCGCTCGTCGGAATGCAGGCCATGCCGGCCCCCCCCCGAGGCGGCTAGCTATACATCACACTAGTTAGATAAGCGTGTCGCCCCCATCCCTCTCTCAGAGCAATTCCCCCAAAGTCGGCCCCTTGATGAAGTGCCGGATTCCCCACGGCTCTCCTCCGTAAGGTAGCAGTGTCCGCTCGCATAAGCGTATTCATCAGTCAGGTGGCATCCAGCTCCTCTATAGCCGATATACTCCCTGTTTGGGAGTGGGGGGTGGGGTCCAGCTAGCCTCATTTTCATCGCCATCTGCCGGTATTTCATATTTCATTACCGTATCTTGTGGCATACAATGGCAGACTCTGAGTATGTCGCTGTTTTTGTTTATCTGCTAGATGAAGCCATTTGTTAGAGTTTTTCTTCGGTCCCACGTGGGGTCGGGCGATCCCAGATCAGCTCCATCCAGCGGGAACAATTTCAGCCATCCCAGGTTTTGTCGTCCTCCTTCTGTAATCCTGGACGGACAGACCGCTCCTGGACTGTCGAGAAGGATCCGGGAGGAGTGAGTTTAAATAACTATACGGGAATTCAATTTTGATCAGATCCCCTGGAGTACCTGCAAAACCTTTTCATCAAGCTGGAGATGCGTCCTGACTGTGTATCTGGGCTGGGTATTATTTCATGACAGAGACCAGATCCAGCCGTACAGATGACCTCCTATGATCTTTTCCCGGATAAAGAATGACCATAACATCACAGCATCAGGAGCTGCCTTGTGTTAAGAGGTGCTTACGCTCAATGTGATACCTGCCCGTGTCGATCAAGCACAGCCTAGCCGAGCTTGTCCTAGAAAACAAGGCTAATGTTTTTAAATGACAATGACAGAACATGATGGTGCAGGTTACCGAGACCTCTCTGGAGAGCTGTAAGTCTCGGGAGGGCAATCAGTCTCAGTGTCTGTTGTTCATCAATAACTTCAAAATGCTGAGATGTTTTATGTATAATTAGTGACAGTTGCGAGATGTAATAAGATGTGATATTTTAATTGCCATAAAAGTTCCCCCCCCCCATAATTATATGTGCAGTATTTTCACCAGAGTAAGCAGAATGACGAAAATTCCCATAGTCGCTGTTGACTCGCTGCAGAAATAGCTCACTTAGGACCGCTGATCTTATTAAAACACGACTTCCCGTCTGGGTCCCTAGAGATCACGTTTACTGTAATTTATCTCTGACGTGTTAATTATTCAAGTTTAGGGCTAATTGCTGCTTTGTAAAAAACAATGAAAACATCACTGCCAGGGTGGACATGATGGAGGGATGATCACGTGCCGTATCCTGGGATCAAGGAAAACTGCGGAGCGATTAGGAGACATCCGTCTCTCCGAATCAAGGGAAAAGGCACAGAGCTGCGCAAACCAGGATCCAGGGAAAGACAGCATCTACTGTCTACTTCCTTTGGCTTTTATTATTGTGCAGTAAAATGAAATGGCACAAAAAATGTGTCTTACGAGGACACGGACCATGACCACCGTCACGGAACACCTCTTTCCAAGGCTATGAAACAGAATTCCAGGAACAGTCGCGGATACGCCAACGTCATCAGCGGTATTCCAGTCCACCGAGCACGAGTGCGGAGACGCTAAAAATGTTTTAAAAAAATAATCAAGAATGGACACGTGGCACAAGCAGATTGTCAACGACACTGCATTTCGTTGGGTCTTCCTTAAGCACCGTGTACTTAGACACCTCGTGAGGGCTAGCTAACATACACCATAAGAAAACATGCAATGCCTAAAGACCTGTCACTAGCCTACCCACTGCATGTTGCCTGAATGTACTTAATGTCTTATTATGTTCTTGTTCTGTTTGATAGAGGTTGTGTGGCTCTTGCTCTAATACTACTTACATTTGGAAATGGGCATTCATCAGAAGCTCAGCTTAGCTGCACTTACAGTCAGTCCTGCTGCAACCCGACTAATAATTGTATACAGACGCTCCTCTACTTACGAACTTTCAGACATAGGAACGAAGAGGACTGTAAGTCCAAATTGTGTTCATTGGGCTCCTGTTTCCTGTCCGCAACTTATTTTTTTCGTTCTGCGCGGCAGTTCCGCCTAGTACGACTTCTGGCCGCTACTCCCGCCACGCAGCAGCGTAGCGTGGGGACTCCCAGCATATCCTAGTTATCTGTACTTGCGTATATCCTTAAAATGATGGTGAATAATGACATACAAACATTTTAAATTACGAACGGCCGTTCGGAATGTATCTCATTCGTAAGTAGAGGAGCGTCTGTACTGAAATATTCATATCCAATGGGAAAAACAGGATTTGGGGAACACGGCGGTAAAACTTAGTAACTTACGCCAAACAAAATAAATTAAATAATAAAAACTGTGACACCAGTGGCCAATAATGTAATTATGTGCATTTTAAATAAGAAATAATTATATCATAAACATCACATATGGGTCTTATGAGTCTCACGAGAATTGCCTAGTAACCGCTTCAGCTTAACGTGCCGAATTCGCTAACGGTAACTTGTCGATTGCCGAGTTGTGAGCCGCAGCCACCACGCTGCCAGTCATACGTGCAGCACAAGTACAAGGGATTGTGATATGCAGTGGGGCACTGAAGGCAACATGGCCACAGTCTACGAAAAACAAATGTAAGTTAATTAAAATGATGCTGTGTGTTTTTGTATGATAATTTGTCAAATAGTTTCAGATATTTAGAATATAAGACTTATACAATGCATGGATGTAAAAAAAATTGGTTCGACCAATTCACTGAAAAGAACCAGTTCAAAGGAATGACTTGTTCGCGAATCGGACATCACAATCGTTCTCTTTGGATACCTGTTTTTGCGTGCAAGTAGTGTTTCTCGCTATGACCATATCGCGTTGTAGTTTGCGTGGTGCTTTTCTCTTGGACTGAAAATTGCGCAAATGCAAATACGATTCCGCGTTGTATTGGACTTGGGTGCTAAAATATCAATCGCGTTAGAATAGATGCGCGGTGTGACATCACGCCTTGGAGTAGGACTGACGGTATGTCTAGTCACCTCCTTGACAGCACATACGTTTGCAATGTGCTATTTGCCTCACTTGTACATCACTTTGAACAAAGGCATCTGCTCAATAAAATAAATGTAAACTTAAAGCAGAATGAAAAGCACCACATGTATTGTTTTTTTTGTTCAGATTTAGATCATTAGTACTCTTTTCATCATTGCCTGAGACTCTTCTTCTCCCAGGGTCCCCAACACATTCTTCATCACAGGCCCTCTCCGACTCTGATCTTTTCTTTTTAAAATAAGATATTGGGTTGGTTGTTAGTTTAGGGGTTCTGGGTGTTTGTTTAATGCTTACTCACTCGCACCGTGCCGGTGGCAGGGGCCTACGCGCCCCCCACTCTCTGTGAACTTAATTCCCTCCATGGTGAAGGAAGGAGCTGGGAATAATCAGGGATTATTGCGTAACTGTTTCTGGCAGCATTTACGCTGGGAAAAATGTCAGCAAGCGATCCCAGATTTGTCAGAGTACTGTTTTAATTTAGCCAATGTTTCTTTTCGGTTTTGATCAGAGAGACGCCTGCTCTCCGGAGTCGGGGAAAGCAAACATCTTAAGACGGCGACATGGCGGAAGCTGCGGAGCCCTGGTACGCTGCCGATGGCCTACGATGCTTTCTGGAATAATCCATTTACTTACAAAAGCAAATTATACTAGAGATCACGAGGAATCAGGCAGAAATAAACATTTGCACAAAAGGACAGATTTCTCCTCGTTCAGCGTGGCCTGCCCTCGCTAATTTGATCAATTAAGTGAAAAATAAATTGTGTATCCTGAGCTAAATCCAATCATTTGTATTTCACTGGCCAGTGACTTCTTATTTATGCATATCATGGTTATGCTCTGCCTTTCTTGTGAATATTGCAGTAATTTATAAAAACATTATTGCTTTCTGTCTCTGGTTAATGTCAGTATTTTTGCTAATTTCTTAGTTTCCAGGCAGGCGGTAGCAAAGCACTTCCAAACAGCATGGAAGGAGGGTCGTTTCTGTTTTCCTTTATGGGGAAAAATGAACGTACAGTGAAAATATAAAAATACAGCATTTATCACCATGGCTAATAAATGGTGGCATGGGGGGCACTGTGTAAGTGAGCCTGCCCCCCATCCAGGTGACGCGCTGACAGGGGGAGACAGACCGTGCCCGTCATCTTGCCAAGGGATCGGATTCGTGCCTTCGTTGGCCTTCTTCACACGCATCATCGAGCACATCGCTGGAACACCTGACATGACAGTGTCACCGGCGTCGTCAACAGCGAAGCCGGCAGTGGGGAAGCCCGCTGGCAGATGTGGGCAACGCGTGGAGCGCGAGATTGTCTCATGAAACAGATCACTGCTTTTCACTTGCTTGCCCATCAGTCACTTTCCGTTTATTTGTTTATTTTGCGTCAACCTATTTTCCAGGTTTTTTTAACGATAATATATTTTTTTAACAACGATATACCTTGGATTCGAAGGACCTCCACCTCATCAAAATGAATGCTTGTAAGCACGGCGCAAAACAACTGTTTTCCACATGTAGGACCTGGCCTGCTGCACTGGGGGGGGGGGGGGGCACTGAGAGAGGTTGGTCAA